GAAAGTGTTCTCGTCCCGCAAGCAAACAGCAACGCCTTGGCCACAGAGGCTGAGACACCACTCAGCTGCGTGTAACAGCTTCTTCAAAGGAATATCTTTGTATTTATGAAATTAATACCTGTCAGAAAAGTGAATGTTGTCATTCTGGAAAATCTGAGAAATAAACAAAAGTCTGAAATAAGAGACAATGATCACACACGACCCCATCACCCAGGGGTTAACATTTCCTTTCCTTCCCACCTCCCCAAGGCCTATTTTGGGGGAGAGATGGCATGATTTAGATGGTATTGTGCAGATAATTTTGGGTCTGCCCTTTTCACCTGTTAGAAGTGATCAGTTCTCATTAGTATCGAGAACTCCTTGCAAGCCTCATTTTGAAACACTTTCTTGCGATCCACGATGAATGCATGAGGTCCCCTTCATCATTTCCCTGCGGCCCCATCCCCTTATTCTGCTTCTGCTACACTGTGGTCTCCGCTCTGCCTGTTTTCATTTCTTTCCCTCAGAATGGATTCCTAGATGTAAAACTCCCTGATTCGGCTTCACAGCTCTTATTACATACTGTCACATCGATTTCTAAAAAGTTTATGGCGATTTATTCTTTCACATAGCAACATATGAGCGCTGTCACCGGCGACGGGTATAGTAATGAAAAAAAAAAAGCATTTGCTAATTTGAAAATAAGAATTGGCAGCTCATCATCCGTTTTTCTTCTTCCCTCTGCCCGTTTAGACATCAAGCACATCAAAGCATCTCTCACGAACCTCTGAGCTGTGGCATCATGGAGTCAGGCAGCCCCGGTCGGAATCCCAGCGTCTCCACTCGCATGCTCCATGATGGTGGGCAAGGGATTTCACCTCTCTGTGCCGGTTTCCTCATTCCCTGTGTCCTCATAACATGGGGAGGACAACAGATGCCACTTTCTGGGCTCACGGTGAGGGTCAGACGGCATTGTGGGGTGCTTGGGCAGATACCCCCTCGGTCACTGTCTTGGTTGTTTGTCGTGAATGTCGTTTGCCCTTTTGAGGTTAACTGTTTAGTTGTATTATGAGCAATTCTCGAGATAGAGGATGTTTTTGTTTAAGGAAGTGATGCAAGCAACAAAACTTGGGTTTCGGGATGGGCAGTTTGTGGAAGGAAGACAGCCCTGGTGTCACGACAAGGAGATGAGTGTAGGGCCTGCTTCTATCCCTCAGTTAGAATGCCAAATTAACAGGTTCAGAAAGCCAACATGATCAGGCCAGCTGGTCATCACTCTGCCTGATGCTAGAACCCTTGGCAGCATCACCGAAGTGTCCTAAAGATGCCACGCCCAAGGTCCTGCCTCGAGACTCTGACTCTGAAGGTGTGGGCTGGTAACCGGGTCTCTCTATAAATAGGACAGGTGGCTCTGATGCCCAGCCAGCTGTCCAGTGTGGGGAGTCCCTTGCAGGACACCAAAGGGACATCCCCAAACCTCCGTGTCTCCTTAATTACTGGGGGCAAAACTGTCATCCGTGAGCCCTCTACGTCCTCCTTATGATTCCTCCGAAGTAGCCTCTCCTGCCCCACCTCATGGGGGTGGGGAGATCCCCTAACCAAGGTGATCTCAAGGAAAAGGTAGATGAAGTCTTCAACAATCTGTGCCTGGAGGCTGATTCTCCCCCTAAACTCTTTACTTTCAATTCTCCGACAAGCTTCTATCATTAAGAAACCCAGTTCGAACTGGGTTCCCTGTTGTAACCAAAAGGGATGTGGGCCTTTTATCATTCCTGGCTGCTGGAGTCCTCATGCTTACATGTGATATGCAGGGAAAGAAAACCTTGCCCTGACTCCCCTGCTCACTTCTCCCCCCAGCCTGTCACTGACGCCAGGACGCACGTCTCTGCAAGCATCGCTCTCCCCGGAAGGACTCCGCCCCCACTGCCCTGCCCACTCCCACTGCCTCCTAAAGCTCTCTGGGAAAGCCCCAGAGGCACCAGCCATCCAGAGGATTCCAGCGTATCAAGCTGATCTGAAAGTGGTCAATACACATGGTCTCTGGAGCCGCCACGTTCAAATGCCCACTCCTCCTTCTCCACTTCTGAAATGAACTTTTATGACAACCCACTAGCGCACTAGCACCCATCGATCTCACTGTAATTCCTGGTTTCATGATAACATTTTACATGGAACTCTACCCGAAGCTTTTGCTTTTTGGCAGGAGCAGGGCGGGGGGAGGGGGGCGCGGTCAGCAAAGAGACAGTCCCAATGACAAAGGAGCGAACTCCTCCCCAATGCTAAGGCAGGAGGGACGTAAATTCTGGAGGGCAAGCACCCAAGAAAAGCACGCACAGTAGGAAACCCTTCACAACAGGCACGGGTGACACCAGCAAGATGACCAAGTCTGAAAAGGAAGAAGGAGGTTTTGCAGATGCTTAGGACTCTGAAGAGGAAAAATTCCCATCAAAAGTTGCCGCTTGGTCTCCATGTTCAAACTGCAGCATGCGTTTTTAAAGAGAATATAAACAGCTGACATGCTCTGAGTTCCCTTCCAAGAGCAGGGAGAGAAGAAGGCTGGCCCAGAGGGACATGGGGCGACAAGGACAATTTGCCCTCACTGACGATCTTTGCACGTGGGACCCTGCGCTTCACCAAGGCTCAGAAACCCCATTGATTCCAGGGATGGCTTCTGGCCAGAATCAAGATTCACCCGAGACCCATGAGTTTGTTCAGAACAACACCGCCCCCCTCCCCCCTGAGGTTGAAGCTTTTCAATGGAAAATGTAGAAAAACTGTCCGTTGGAAAATGCAAGCACCTATAAGGCTGTAAGTGATTTTACTATTCCAGGGGTGCGATCCAGTAGCTAGGAAAATGCCTCAGTGGAGATTCTCAAGTCTTTTTAATTCAAGCACCTAAAAGAGACTTTCTGAGTCCCTTGAGCAGCCTTGGAAATGCACTGGGTAGGGCAGGGTTCCAAAGGTCCAACCCCTTGGTCCCCCCCTTAGCACAGGACCCCCACACACACGGGGCGGGGGGAAAGGCAAGCTGTGAAGGGCTCACTCCTCCTGCAGGTCTCTGGGACACAATAACACCAACACAGCATTAATGCATCTCAGGGCCCACCACTCCTAGAATCCTAGAATTCAGAGGTTACCTCGAACATAGACCTGTTCCAAAATGGCAAATATATTTGCATATCAGAGGTTAAAAGCAATGTCCAAGGAGGTGCTCTGACAGCAGAAGTACACACACCCTTCAATGCCCCCAACTTCCACGGAGGCGTCCATCTGACCGAGTGGCCGGCCTTCTCAGCGCGGGTCAGGCACGCGCTGCGGAGTGTCCACCAACCCAGTGCAGCTCTGCTTCCCCACGAAAGGAAAGGGCCCAGCACACCCTCCGAGGCGCTCCCACGTTTCCCTCACTGACTAGTTTATCAAGGAAGCAATCCCATGAGCCTAACAATGGGGCACATGCTTGTATCTGCAGCCTTCATTTATTATTTAAAACCAAGAACCAGCATCGCCTGTGTCGACCTATTGGAGCCTCTGTCTCTGGGTCTCTGTCTCTGTCACACACACACACACACACACACACACACACACACACACGGTGAGGAGACTTACATCACAACTACATCCTACAGAAGATGATTCAACCAGTCTCTGCATTTTCGTGAGGTTACAAATCGAGTTAACCCATGAAAGCGCAGCAGGTTCCGGTCTCCACCATTCTGGGTAATGCACCCAGGGTCTCATCCGAGCCAGGCTCCGACTAGTCAGTAAGAATTTAAATTCAGCTTCCAGCAAATAAAACGGGACCAACACAAGATACCTGGAAGAAGGTAAAGCACCTTCTCCATTTTCCTTGGCTTGCTCTCCTCTATGGCATCCTTCCTTCCGGATTTCCTTCAGTCCACCAGCCTTGAGAGGCACTAAGGAGATCATGAGCAAACCTGAGCTCAGCAGCATCCTGGGAAGCTCAGGCATAAGGGGGAGACCGGCTCCCAGTGGCCAGCTCGCCAGGGTCTGCGTCTCCTCTGTGTAACGAGCAAGTGTCTGGCCCAGTGGTGGGGACACCCTGTATCCACCCCTTCTACCCGCATGTGCAGATGTAGATAAGACAGGGCTCAGAATGCTTTTCCAAGAAACATGAACTCCCAAGGAGGGCCACTGGAGCGAACCGAACCCCTTAAGAATAATTTTTCCAAGGTACAACATGCTCTTTTATTCTTAATATTTCTAAAGAGTAACAGATTCCTTTGCACAACAAGACTGAAAGTAACACCTAAACCCGCAAAAGGCAGGGAGCTCAGATGTGCTCGCAGCTCGGACACCTCACACACACCACGGTGCTAACTCTAGCAAAAGCTCAAGAAACACGGCACTGGTGTCTAGTGGGATTCTTCAAAGGAAGAGAATGCTCTCTCCTTTTACCTACCAGCAAAAGCTGTTTTTCAAAGCATCTGGATTTAATAATTTCCTTTTTGTGCCAGCTACCCATCTTGCACGTGCTCCTTGGTCTTTGAAGGCCACCAAAGGTTGCCTGGCCAGTTACTGCAACTTGCAAATCAATGGTCTCTCAGCCACCAAGGTTACAGACCTCAGGCAAGCAAGGGCCACAGCACAGCGCCCTCCATCCTGCCCTGAAGGCACAAGAATGGGCAATGGCCCCTGCTGGTGTTTATTTGTACAGCTACAAGTGAACCACACATAGATCCATGTGCATCCCCAACATCACGGCAACCATGTGTCTCTTCCTTCTACCTTCTACTTCAAGACCAATGGCCAACTTCCATGAACATTTCCACCTCCCAAGAGGTACAGCCAAGGCCTTAAAGACAGTCCAAACACTCGAGTCCACAGGAAATGGCATCCACAATGGATGGACCAGGAACTAACCAATCAACATGGGTCCACGGCAGCCTCCGTGAGTCCCCCTAGGTCTGGCTCAATGGCTGTGCTGCTAAGACCATGGACCCCAACCCTAAGAGAGTCGGCGCTCTCCCCAAGCAGAAAGATATAAACACCCGTGTCCCTACCTCAATCAGGAAGTCCCCAGTCCTCAGTCCGGCTTGCCATGCCACCCCTCCTTCATCCACAGACTCCAGGTACTGCAGGGCTGGGAACGCTGGCGTTGGCGTGAATTCTTCAATGGGCGTATCCGCTGGGAAGACAAGGAATACCTCAGTACAAGCCTGGGTGGTGTTTCCAGGTTGGCAGCCCCGGCCCCTCACAGGCCCCTGAGAGAAAGGGGGTGTGTATGTCTCCCATTGGAAGTGGGTGCTCCAGGCCTGCTCTCCCCTGGGAAGAGTCACAGTCATGGGTCAACACCAACTCAAGCAACGAAGCCAACTGCATTTTGGTGCCACCATATCTCTTGGCCTTTCTGTTAAAAACACTGAATAATGTGCTCTGCTATACATGTCTTTATGTACATGCCTGTCATTTTCTTTAAAAGCATCAGTGACTAAACATTTTCAGTTCTAAAAATGGAAAAGTTCCCCCCATAACCACACAGAGCTCCAGAAACACCACACTGAACCACTTGCCAAATTTATATCTACGTAGACTTGCAACCAAGGGAATTCAACTTGGAGCATGGACAGATCATAACGTTGACCCAGTGGGTGGCTGTGGATTTGGAATCTGCTTATGAATTCTGTCTGCAGGGAGCCCGGCTCTCAGCGGCCACTCTGCGGCCAGCACCCACGGGAAGGCTGGGCCCCCGCTCCTCAGCAAAGCTGAGCCTTGGTATCTGGGCCCCACATGGCTGCCGAGCAAAACTCCAGGGCAAGAGATGGACTCCCCTGGGTAGTTATGAGCAGCCAGGGGTGGGTGGGTGGGAAGACGAAGATGACCCCAGCAGGGGGAGGGGACAGAACATCACTCAGACACTCACACACACACACACACACACACAGACGGGGACAGATTCATCTTTTCTTTCTCTCTCTGGACAGATGGCTCCTGAGCAGCCTGAGTTTCGGGCAGGTGGGGCTGCTGCCCAGGGAAGGAGGCCTTTCCTAGCTCAGGTGCAGGACCCGGCACAGCACAGAGCCTCTGACATGAAACTTACACATGGCTTACCCACACACGCGGTGGACAGATGTCTCCTCTCCTGGGGAGCTGATGCCATTTTGTTTTCTTTTGAAAGGGAAGCCCCCAAGTGAAGGGATGGTGGGGGGGTGCACTGCCATGGAATGCATCCCCGGAGCCCCCCACCCCAGGCCACATGACGTGTACGCTGCCGGCTCAGTCCACGGCAGAGGGGACCATCTTGCCACATTTCCTTTGCAAAGTCACCTTAGAGGCGGGCACACACAGACGCCGCCGCACTTGGAGCCAAAGCCCACTCCCAGAATGGGGCAGTTTCTAGATGTCTGAAACTCAGCACCGGGTCATTCTGGATATCTGAGACCAGGAGCTCCAAATCCAGCCACAGTTGGGCTGAACTAAACCACAAAATATAGATTAAATCCACGATTTAAAAAAAAATAAAAAACAAAAAACGGGTGGGGGGAGGGAGAGAGAGACAGCGAGAGCTCGTTCAGAGCAATACTGTGTACAGAAAATTGAAAATATTCCTAAAGGAAGCCCCGATGTTTTCTGAGTACGGCAGAATATGTTAAAGAACACGGTTGTCTAGCAACCAAGTGCCCCCAGGAAGAAGGCTTCTTTCTGAGCCGGGGAGCATTTTGATACGGCGTGCACACACACACACACACACACACACACTCACTTCACACTCACACAACACGGGAATGCACCCAGACTGGGAGCAGCCGCTCTTACCTTTCGCCCCTCGGAGCACGAATCCAAAGCCCTCATTGTCCTTCTTCTGCAGGACCACTGTCTTCTCCTCAATAATGCAGTCACTGTAGAGAGAATTCCGGGGATAGCGACCATTATTGTAACCCGTCATCATCACCGTGGCTGATCCTCCGCCGGGGACGTTCATCATCATAGCCAATTAATCACCCAGCTCGCCGGATCCAGGCAGCATGGAGGAAACTAAGCAGCACAGGGAGCAGGAGGAGCGGAGGCAGCTGGGGGGGCCGGCGAACGGGATAGGCGGGCTCGGCACAATGGGGCTCGGAGGGGGGGGCCGGCAGAGGCAGAGCCGGAGCGGAGCCGAGTGAGCGGGAGGAAGGAGTCAGGCATGGTGGGGAGGCCGCCGAGCCATGGCAGCGCGGGCTGGCTCCGGGCACCCCGAGGCAAAGAAAGTAAGTGGCCCAGAGCTACCAGGCGCAGCAGAGCCAGGGTGCCCAGGCCAATGCATCTTCCAGGGGAGCCCGCTGAAATCAGCCAGAGGAGAAATGAGGCAGCAGGTTTTTGTTTTTTGGTTTTTTTTTTTTCCTTCTTCTTCTTCTTCTTCCTGAAGGGTTTTCAAAAATCAAATTCTATTTGCTCTCCGCACGAGCCGGTGCCGAGAGGCAGCGACCCCTCCCTCCCAGTCCGAATGAATGTGGTGTCCCGACAACCACCAGGGAGCCCACAATGCCACGGCAGCCGCTGCGCGGCGTCATCCAGCACAGAGAAACCGCAGGCTGGCGGAGGGGGCGGCCGGGGCGCTGCCGGGGGTGGGGGCTCCTAGCAGGAGGAGGCAGGTCACTCCAGCGACACCAAAGCCATGGTGTCGAACGGCATGGCCTCCTTTAGGGGATGATGAGCCGTGGGGACAGGGAGCAGGGGGCTCAGGGGCTACCCCCTTGGACAGACAGCCTAAAGCCCCACCGCCTGCCTCTTGGCACGGCATTTTTTTTTTTTTTTTTAAAGGAAAGAAACCCAAAAGCTCCAACTTTGCTTCAGCTGCCAAAGCCTCCCATCATTTACAGTAAGGGCGCTTTGCCACATAACTGTCCACCCCCAGAGGCACCCGGGGGCGCGGGACGGAAGTGGACTTCCTGGCGGGCCGCACGGCCGGGGCTGAACGATGGCCCTCCCTCCCCACCTTCCAGGGGCGGCCTCCCCCCCAGGACTCGCTGCTGCCCCGGAAGTAAGTAAGTCAGCAGCTGGAAGGCCAGGCCACTGCGCAGGGAAGGAGGAGGGGCAGGATGCGACGTGGAGAGGCTTTCTCCAGGGTCCTAAGGGGCTGGCCAAGAGAGGGCTGTGTGCCCGAGGTCCTGAGGAATTCAGCAGGCCCCTGGCTCGGAGGGGGAGGGTGGGGGACGCAGCTAGCAAACAGTGGGAGCAACGTGCGGACAGGCTCGAAGTCACAGACAACTGAAGGTCAGCTTTGTCCAGCACTGGACTCACAGCCTGCAGGGAGCGCAGGGCCCCAGCATGCAGCCAACCGGGAGCAGCTCAGCCAACCCAGATCGGGCCCCAGGAGGACAAGGGACAGGGGTGCTTGGACAGAGCGATGGGCTGCCAAGAGTTTCCAGGCGCGCAGATGAGGCAGGGGAGCCTCAGACGGGTTGGGGAACACAGCTGGAGAATGTACACATGTCCTGATACAGTCCCGAGCTCCTGCCTTTGCAGCGGACGAGCATGCAAAGGAACTTGCCAGAGTGACCCCATCTTCCAAGAAAGGGCTGGCAGAGTGCAGACACTTACTTTCACAACCGACAGCCCATGCAATTGGGGATGACGGTTCTAGGGTGGTCTAAGACTCGAGGAGGGGTTCTGTCCCCGTGCTCTTGCTCTGCCTGCTACCCTGGGCACAGGGAGCCCCAGGGTCACACGGCTGGCCTGGCCTTTAGTAGGTGATGGGGCTCCCTAAAACCTCTAAACCTCACCCTCACATTATAAGGCAGCAAGAAGAAGCCATGGGGGTAACTGTGAGGTCAGACGGGGCAATTCCCAGGACGGTGTGGGGGGCCAAGGGAGCCCCAGGGAGCCATCAGCTGCCCTCAGAAATGGCAACAGGCTGGCGGTTAGCCAGGACCTCGGGAACCACAAGGCAGGAGGAACTGTGGGCAGGCAGAAGCTCTGTGGTGAGCAGACCCTGTGCCCGGCCGAACACCTTCCTGTCTCCAGGGAGCCTCCCCCAACCAGGACGCAGACCTGGCCTGCCTTCCCACCTGCCTCGCTTCCCGCTGTACTCCTCAAGGGGGAGGGCCCTGGCCCGGTGGCTCCCTCGGGCACCGAGCAGGTGCCAGCCCTGCGACCCGCTTCTCTAGGGGAGGCTCACGAGGGCCCCGGCCGCTGGGCCCCACTTTCGCCCTCTGCATGAGCAGCTGCTGGCCAGCAGCCCCCGAAGCCCCAGAAAGACGATGCCTGCCCTGCGGGTCCTGAGCCCTATCTCCCCTGGGGGCACAAGCGGCCCCCGACACCCACCACCTGTCTTGCATTCCAGGCGGCGGCCCTACCACGGGCTGACTCTGCCGGCAGGACCAAATGCCGCCTCGGGCTTCATGTGGCTCGTACGTCGTACGTTTCCTCCCAGATGTCCCCCCGTGATGGGGAGCTAGTTGGGGCCAGCACAACAGCACCCCGCCGACCGCACAGGGGTGGTCTGCTGTGGTGGGCGAGGGGTGGCACTGGCATCACACAGAACTTGGCTCCAATCCCAGCTGTGCTCTGACCCAAGGTCACTCTGACCTTCACAGCCTCAGTGTCCCACTCTGCAAAATGGGATGAGGAACAAAACACGCCCTGTGGGCCAAGGAGGAGTTGACGAGGTAACCCACAGCAGCCCAGGCATGCAGCACGTGTTAGTAACGGCGACCCTGCTCAGAGAGGGTTTGCACGTGCCAATGCGCCCCCCCCTCCCCGGAACCCCTCCCGGGCTAATGACGGAGCCCCTCTCTGAGCCCTCCGAGTCCTCCCAGCGACTCCTCCCTCGCCAAAGCACGTCCTGACTCCCACTCGGGGCCGCCACCATCTTGCCCCCAATCCGTGTGGCTGTGTCCTGCTTGCTGGGCAAGTGCCAAACTCCTTAGTCTCCGATACGAAGAAGGATTCCGGTCTCTTCCCTCCTGCTTTACCTCAGGATCTAAGCAGCCCCTGGCCCCTGCCCCTCATGACCCCGTCTTATTTTTATTCACACACAGACCTGGGTTTGAATCCCAACTCAGGCGTTTACCAGCTCAGCTGCTCAGAGCCTCAGTGTCCCCACCTGCGAAGTAGAGGCAGTAGGCACTTTGGGGGGCAACTGGGACAAGGCCCCCTAACGGGGAAATGGCCATCTCGTGCCCAATCCCTTGGGAGACATGGGTCCTGGACTGCGTCACCCCAGACGCCCACAGTGCCCAGCAAGGGTACTGTGCACCCATCACGTCTGTGGGCTGCAGCAGAACAGGCATGAACACAAGGTAGGGGTCGAGCTTGGGTGTGTCAGGGGAGGCGGCGAAGGAACACCGCCGGCCGGAGAAGGGTCTCAGTGAACACGCCTCCAACTGGGACAATCCCTGGATCCTGGGTCGCACCCAGAGGGCAGGAGCAGCTCAGCATCGTGGAGCGCCTACTGCAGGCGGTGGGCTGGGCCCAGGCAGCCCGAGACACAAGCAGGAGGGAAGTCCCAGGCCGTTAGAAGCGGACGGTCTTTGTAGCGAACCGTGAAAAGCAGCGGGAGATCCAAATGCAAGCGTCGTTCCCTTGAAACAGGAGCTCACGTCTAGTTTCATCCGAACGGCACAAATGCGCAGCATTCCCTCTACCCCCACAAATCAGACTGGGCATTCCCACCCCCGGGCCTTCGGGAGGAACCTGCCTGGAGATGAGAAACTCTCAGAGGGCTCCTTAAGCTGGTTTATGAATCTAAAAGCGGTCTCAGGATGACAGCCATGGCCACACGCGGAAGCTGTGGCAGGCAGACACGGCTTCTGCAAGCTGCCTCGGGAGCTGGGCTGAAGCCCCAGAAACCAGAGGCCATGCGGCCTCAGCCCGGCCACTCTGGCCGCGCACCAGATGCACCCCAAAAGCGTGGGAGCTGTCTTCACAGGGACACTGCCTTGGCGCCCACGTGGGCCCCATGCTGCTGAACTTGGTGCCACCTGGTCCCTGGGGACATGGCCTGGTGAAACCAGCAGCCCAGCCCTAGTGATCACCCTGCACCCCTGCTTTGCATCCGCCCCCTGCCCTGGACCCCAGTCACTGCCCGCCTTCCCGCAGGGTCCCCCCGGCTCATTTTCACTCCCCGAAACGCTCTACCGTTGGCCTTGTCTTTTACCCAAGTGCTCACACATGGGACCTTCACGCCTCCCTGCCTTGTGCTCTGTGTTCCCTTTGCCTGCCATGCCCTCCCCACCACTGGTCACTCACAGGCTCTCTGCCCTAGGCGGAAGCCATCCCAAACCCTCCCGACGACGGTCAATGTCACACATTCTCTCCCCGAGGGTGCCTTCGAGCCTGGCCCAAGCCTCTGAGGGGACGCTTCTCACCCACTAACCCATCAACTGTGGGCTCCTTGGGAGCAAACATCAATGCCTTGTTCCTCTCCGAATCTCCCTAAGTGGCACAATGCCTATTCTTGGTGAGATCCTACCTGGGTTTGTTGGCTACACAAAAAAACGTAATCTAGACGTGCCGCCTTCAAATGTATTTTCTGAATAGGGTGGGTTTAATGAACACAAAATGTCCCCTTCTTTGCCAGTTTCCTGTAGCAGGAGCTGCAGAAAGCAAAGGGGTCAGGCATCTAGCCCCACCAAGTACAGTTGTGCAGGCTGTGCACAGTGCAACTATGGAGGATACAATTTACATGATGGCCATCACAGAGCCCTGTATTTATTATGGTTATTTTGGCACAGATGGAAGTAAAGTGCCTTGAGGAAGGGGCAAGCAACTTTTTCTAGTTCATACAAAGATGGAGTATAGGCCATTGGCTGCCTTGAAGAATGTAAGAGGTATCCATAGAGAACCACATCAAGACTGGGAGACGGCTCCATTTCAAAGCTCTCCTGGGAGCCACGTGGTAGAGACCACGAAAGGTTTC